CGCCGGTAGCGAGGCTCGCGGGGAATGTTTCCGCAGGAAGCGGAACCGGCGGCCTGCTGAAGCGCAGCCGGGGCAGCACCCCCACGGGCCGCCCCCCCGCCCAGGGCTGCGGCGGGAAGGGGACGGCAAGGAGAGCCTCCGGAAAGCTGCAAAGACAAGACACATCCACCGAAAAGGTGTATGGTTTGGTGTGTGTCCCCCCCCTTTAAATAACAGAGATAAGATATCAAGCATTTTAGTTACCTTTCTTTATTGATCATTACTTAAAACGAGTTAGTACAGGGTGAGCGGCAAGAGTCAGCTGTTGCTTTGGTTACCCCCCCAAACAGACACGGGCAAAGCTGGTTTGCCCGTGCAGTACGGGGTACCAGGGGCAACAGCCACCTCCGACCCAGTCACAGTCGTTAACTAGTGTTCAACCTTTCACTGTTGTTTCCTCGACTGCAGCTTGCAGCTTGTTTTCAAGCAAGGACATGTTTTGTTCATGCCGCGCATGGTGTGGTCTTCAGCTCTTCTCCAGAACTGCAGTTCCTCTGAAGAAGTTACATTAATTAGCTTAAATGCAGCCTCAGTTTCCTCCAGGGTAAGATCTTGAAGCGTGAACCCTTCTAGAACCGGTATTTTGAAGCACAGGTAACAGCAGAGCAGATTAGGTTAAGTTACAAATTGTTTTTGATACAAAAACATAAAATATCCCCTATTAGCATCAAAAAGGCATCAAAGTTTTAATAGTCTCATTATAAAATTGTACCAGCATTTTTACTGAAAACAATATAGATCTTGTATATATTTAGTTTTGGTTCTGTCCTTGATAAACAGTTGTGTGACAGTTACCAAACCCCAATTATGGTTCGCTGAACCTCAGTACAAATCACATGCATCACAAATACATAAATAGATCTTAATGACCCAATATAAAAAATACGTACTATACAAGAACCTCAGGTATACTAGAAATCAATCTGTTCATGAAAATTCACACTTAATACATCTATTCTCCCTGAAAGTAAAGGTGGCTACTAAGAGGTGGCAAAAGCAGTAGACAGGAGCAGAAAGGATATTGCAGAATTCTTGTCCGATTTATTGCTACATGTAGATTACATCAAGGGTAATCTGTATTTTTATTAATCTTTGAAAGGTCAAATTGTATCAGGACTTTAGAACAGAGTAAAGGAAAAAAAATAGCAGTATTTATAAAAATAGCATCCATTTAAATTAGAGAAATCCTTATAAATACAAGAAAGAAATCAGTTACTCTATAAAAAAATTAATTCAGAGCATATGTTCCTGAAGCACCAGCATAACATCCTCATGTTAAGGACTTCAACTACAAAGTCTTCATAAACATACCTGCAAAATTCTTCCTCATGCTGACCATAAACAAGTGTCAGAAGGTGTGCACTTGTATTTTGCACTGACATGTGAAGTTTGCAGTCAGCTATAAAAGGTCTCATATTTGAATCTCAAATGGCAAGAAAACAGTTCTGTGCCAGCTTCTGCTTCAGTGTTTAGCTCATTTGCACATGGAAAGCACATGCTTCAGATAGATATTAGATCTAACCATAGCAAATTTTAGTAACACATTTATCTGAGGTTAAGAGGCAAGACAGTATGGCTTAAAGTTACACTACATATAGTAAATGCTACAACTGTGTAAAGAGGTAACAAAACCTGCCCTCTTCTGCACCTGTATTAAGTGTAAACTTTCAGAACTTTAGGAAACATTACAAACTACAGCTCTTTTGTGGTAAAGTAACCAGAGAGGATTTGAGGGTTTTAAAAAACAGTCTGAAAATCTATTAAAACATAACAGGTGTAGAAACTTTAACATTTTTAGTGTTTGTAGCATTATAACTTTGGTGTTCAGATCTAGCAAATCAGTATATTGCCTGTAATCAGCCTCATCAAAACAGATGTTCTATAATGAAAAATACTAATTCCATTTTCAATGGTAGACTTGTAGGATCTGACATCCCACCATGAATCACAGGAATCAGAGCACTGTCCAATTCATTCAGATAGTTCTGTGGAAGAAGGTGACCTCCAGATCCAGCTAAGTACTCAACCTAGAAGGAAAACATATTACTGTTGATATTAACACTTTTTATTAATAAGACAACGCAGAAGCGTACTATCTTGGTAAAAGACTATTTCAGCTAGCATGAAGTGACAAAATAACATTGAAACACTGGCAACTGGAGGGGTTTTGAGGTCAATCATGAATGATTAGGCTTGCCATTGAAAAGCATGAAACATTTCCCTGGGTTTAAAGGGCTGCACATCCTCTGCGTCCCAGACTGTTTCAGTCCGATGTCCAAGAGTGATCTGATTATATCCCAGTATCCCAGTTACTATTAGATTAATTTAAAAATATACTACTGAAAACCAGATTTTCAGGACTGTACTTCCAACTTCTCTCAAAAAAGGTGAGGAAGTGTAACACAGAACACCTTTAGAGGCAAGGAACTAAACTGTTCTGCAGTTTTGTAATCTTTTGAGGGGCATCACATGCTGGATAGCCTTGCCTTCCCTCTCCTCCATCCTCAGCTGGGCAGACTTATCCTTTTCTGCTGTACAGATTTTGGTGCAAATATCCCTTACTGAACTATGCTAGGGAACAAAACCAGCAGAAAGCTACGTAATTTGAGAAAAGCATCAGAAAATTAGCTCTATGATTCTCTAAACTGACTCACCTTGGAGGCAGCTGAGTGCCAGAGAGAAGGAACTAAGGAAGGACTGATAGCTTACTGCAAGCAGCTATTAGGGAATTTGGGCAGAATAAGGCAACAGTACTATTCCTTTCAAGAAAAACTAGTCATTAAGACAGATTCTTCATGAGATTTCATTCTCGATCTGGATCTGGGGTAGGGCAAAAAACTAAAAACATTCAGAAAGAGATCCAAGGTCTTTACAAGAAAGATTTCAGTTGAAATGGAGTGTCTGCAATAAAAGTTGAAAGATTACCATATCTGAGTCAATAGAGACTCTTAGGCCTATCTTATTCATCCCATTATTTTTCAAGGTTTTAAGGTGCGGGCAAAGAGCAGTACCGCAGGCAATAGCAATCTCTTTAGCAAACTGGTGAGGAACAGGACTGGACAGTTCAAGGTCCTTTAGAAAATAGTATACCTGAAATTATAGAAAGGATAAGGACAGTCAGCAGCCTGGTTATATTACAAAATAAGGAAGAGAGTAATTCAGTATACACTTAATGCAGAACACAGCAAGCTATAATACTTGTTTGCTGGCAAAGTATTTTAGTATTTCATCTATTCAATCAAAATACTTAAGTGACCATGGGAATATCTGGATTATATATTTACAGAGTTATCAATGCTAACAGACTTTCAGTCTTTTTCAGAGGACAAAAACCAAAAAAGTATGTAAACTTATCAAAGAACTACGGAGAACATAGTGCCTATCAGTATGGCTATACATCAGATAAGTTAGTTTCTTCAGTAGTATCACCTAGTATGATCACTTTACCACTTAACTATTCTAAAAAGTAGCAAAAAGGGTTAAGAACAATGTAATCTACTAACTTCGGTACATTTCATAACTTTTCCCTCTCTTTCAAAGTCTCTGCCTTGTGGTACTTTTTCACTCTGAGATCCTTCCATTGATTTTCCATCGACTGGGCTTAAAATTCTATGGAAGATAATAGTATGGTTAATAATTAAAACAACATTTTATGATTTAGATTGAGTAACTTGTATGAAATAATGTTTAGCCATCCTTAAAGGCTATTAAAACAGCTTTACAACAGAATCTAATACAGGATTTGCATCATGAAATACAGATGCTACAAAAAGAAATATCCTAAATAGGGAACAAACAACACTTAATAAAACCCGAATCTTACAGGTTTAAGCAGCTATAAACCATCTTAGGTAAAGCTACTCTTTATTCTAATTGGTCAGAGAAGCCACAGAAAAAGGCATACCAAGTCAAACCCATGTCCTGAGAAACAACTTAATATGAGACAAGTTTTGAGTTAGTGATGTACAATTAAAGTTTGAAGCTACATAAACAAGCATTCAGATCACATCCAATAAAGATGTCTTACATCTCATTTTGCTTTGTTGAACGCTGGCTTTCCAAGCAGTGAATGGCCAAGGGCAGTACTATGCACTTCCAAGCCTCCCCTAACAAGGAAGCTTAAAGGGATTAATTGCGTCCTCACACAAACTGATTACTGATTTGATAGAGGACTTTCAAAGGAAACTGAGGGTTCACTTGCTTCTCCTGTCAACTTCCCGAACAGGGAAAACGGCATTAAATTTTGGTGGACTACAAGCAACATTGTTCTGTTAGTGACATCTAGAGGGTTGCAGGTAGTTCACCATTCTATCCCCTTTCAGGTTTTGGTATCAAGTACTTCCTTTCAATAAAAATACCTTAGATTAATTTCTTGAAATTAAAGGTAGATATTTGAAAATTGGGAACAAGAATTCTCTAAGACTTTTTGCTTTGGTAATACATTTACCCTTTCTTTGTTTTTTCTTCATTTTCTACCCAGCAAATATCTACATATTCTTTTATGTCTCCTGTATCCG